ACAACGGGACTATTTCAACAGTTCGGCAACTCCATACTAGGTGAGGACCGCGCCTATGACAACGCCTCCTTGGGGAAACCAAAGCAATGCAGGGTCTGGAAGCGGCGGTGCTGGCGGCAGAGGAGGAGATATTGCCTCCCATAATAAAATAAGCAACGTATACAACATTGTTGAGGGAGTCGACCACGGTAAATTTTATTTCTCCAAATGTATATATGCATTTACTCACATGAAAACACGTTAATCTCATTTTCATTGACTATAAATATGCAATTCAATATCATGTATTGTAATATACACCGCATTCTGCAATAAAAGGGCTATTCAGAGAACTCCTTACCGAGATTGAAGAGCTGAAGAGGCGCATAGATGCTCTTGAGTTTGATGCGCTTAAAAAACGCGCAGACGCCGTTAAGGAAGTATCGTAGAATACATTGCCAAGGAACGCGAACATTTGGTAAATACAATACAATTTTATGCGCAACTAATGCTTTTATGTTGGGTCTGCCGATACCCGATAATACCCAAACAAGCGCCCGCGAAGCCTTCCTCATATGTTTTTGGCGCTATTCTTGACAATTTCATTTTCATCACGAGACCTGTATCGCAACTACCACATTTTTTGTTACTAAGCCACTCACATGCTCAGTCTAGACCGGGCTTATTTTTTTTTCTTTTGGGGAAGCTTCCTAAAACCCATTTACTTAAAATACTTACAGCCGTCACATGTTCAGTCTAGACCGGGCCTATTTTTTTTTCTTTTGGGGAAGCTTCCTAAAACTGAATTCTCTATTCCACTCCAAAACCTGGTTCACTGAAAGTGACCAGGCATATGAAACCAGGATATTCTCCGGGCATAGCGATGGCAAAAATTCCCCCATCTGCAGGATTGATTGTAGGGTCTTGGGACTCTAGTGATGAATTTTCTGGATTTGCAGGTATGACAGGTCCTGTAGCCATCAACTACAGTCTGACTATCAATGGAATTGGCAGGGGTATTCAAAAATGAAACGCTCACCATACTTCGTGCAATGCCTGAGGTCAAATCTGTCTACGAGTCAGATATCTTCTATCTGTGCTCGTCGTGAGAGTCGAATACTCTTGTTCAAGGTTGTTCCTATCTCTATTGTCAGCCGCTCGAAGGACAACTGCAGAGGAAGAGCGAAAGGGGTCGCGCCTTGGAGCATCAGCCTGAGCCGAGTAGCGTTGTGTTCGACACCGAATTTTTTCTGAACACTGGTGGCGATGACTAGCGGCTCCAAACTTTAACGCCGGAGACAAAAAATAGTGGCTTTTCACCATCTTCACAGACTCTCATGCTGTAATTTCATTCATACATGTGCCGACCTCCAGTGCAGGGCTAAGTAGTCTCGAAGCAGCCAACACTGAAATCACTGGTCAGAAGCCAAGTCGGGCTCTCGTTAGCTCTCTGTTTCTCATCGGATGTTGTTATTAGCCTTTATTATTTCTTACTTGCTTCTATCACAGAGAAGGCTCTTGAGATGAAGTGTCCGGTATTGAAGATCGTGCAGCATGGACCCCACCAGGACCCACCAGGACCCATCTCGGGCTGCACAGACTTGGTGAAGCCCTTCTATCCAAATCTGTCGGCGTGTCATGGCCGTGTGGCGAAATGGCATCGCGTCTGACTACGAAACGCGATATCAGGAGACTGCAGGTTCGACCCCTGTCTCGGTCATCTCAGGTTTATTTTTCCTCATTTTTTTCCTTTTTCTTTCTGTGGAGTGCATGATGGGACTACTTAGACGAAGTGCACCTTCACCAAGTATATGAGGGTAAATTTGTGTGTATACCTTCCTGTAGGGCAGGGTCTTTAGCTTTAATATTGGAGGGGGCAGCTGTAAGTTCCTGCTCGAGATCTGAGTACCGGGATAGATGCAGTAGAAAACATGTATCCTGAACTATACAGACTTCTCATCTTGACTTGACTAGCTAGCTAAAATAGGAGGCTTGACTGCAGGAGAAAGGAGTAATCTCAAGACGCGACCTCTTTATTCCTTCCGCTCTTCCTCTGTAAAGACACTTGAAATGGTTAATGACACAGATAAGATGAAGTTAAGTCGCATGCTCAGACAAGAAGACTAATCTCTCACTATGTATTTCTTAGTTCAGGGACATGGTAAATGTCTCGGCGGTAGACAGCTTTAACCTCGGGCATTGCACGAAGCATGGCAAGCGTTTTGTTTTTGAACACCCCTGACAATTTCATTGCCAATAATCAGAGTGTAGTTGGCGGTTACACGACGTATCCTACCTGCAAATCCAGTGAATTCATCATCCGAATCCTAAAAATTTACAATCAATCCCGCAGAGCTAGGTATTTTTGCCATCGCTACGGTTGGAGAATATCCTGGTTTCATATCGACCGCCAGAGTCCCTTCTCAGATTCCTCAGTATCTTCCGGGAAAGTCGGTTTTTTAGGTCCTTGACGTCCTATATGCATGCAACGGCGATTGAAAGACAAAAGGGGGGTGCAGTAGTTGGACATTCTTGGTAAGAGACATGGGTCGGAGTCTGGAGAGAAAAAGAGTGTATTATGTGATCAGAAATGCTTTCTCGAACTTCAGTGGTATATATGTATCGCACACATAACCTGAGTATTGATGTACGTCCACTAAGCTTCCAAAGCAATGAATGCCACGCAGGCGAACGACGTCATACTTCTATACTCATAAACTCTTCCCAAACTCCAACACCCTTTCCATCAACGCAACCCACTCTGCCTCAACTCTTTCCTCCTTTGTCTTCCTAGGTTCTTCATCAGCAGGAAGCTCGCCCGAACCTACACGTCTAACCCACTCATCCGCAAGCCCCCGCGCTTCGAGCTCGCGCCATGCCTTTCGTAGAGGAAGCTTTTCAGCGTAGAAATACTTCTCCCAGGGTCTTACGCGTGTTCTGGGAAGTGTCGAGGGGTTTGGTTGAGAAAGACGTTCGAAGGGTCCAGAGGATGAGTTCGAGAGAAGTGAGAAGGCCAAGTCGTCCAGCTCGTCGCGGTAGTCGAATTGACGGGCCTCTTCTGAGAAGCGGTGCCATTCTTTGGAGATGAACTCTCGGATTTTGTCGGTCGATATCGGTGTTGACGTTGGCGCTGATGTATCGGGCGTGTCGACCAGGGAGCTATCAGGGTCGTTTAGAGCATCATATTTTCTTTGAGTTCTTGGAACGATTTATAATCTTCGTTTCCTCAAGTGGCCAGTCTATGGCGGAACTGGAAGAAGGTTCTGTCACTGCCGTTGTTGAAGCAGGGTTGACAGTGAAAGCAGCAACGCTGCTCGTGCTTGGACTTCTACCAAGGAAGAGGAGCGACGCGGACTAAGAGTCCGAGGAAGGCCAGACTTGTTGGAGGTGGTAGCCGTAATGAAGACGCTGCGTCGTCGTTGGAGGAGTTAGGCTCTGAGGAGGGGGAGAAAGAGAAACCAGAGCTAGGAATCCCAAAGATGTCGTGCCAGTGGGAAGACACCGTATGACGTGTTAATTAGGTCGTTTGTGGGAGCGGTAGTAAACGGAGGGAGATAGGGATGAGAGAGCGAGCTATGAGAAATTGGCTGGTCCTGAAGCATCCTAAAGTAGAAGTAGGAAGAGAGGATGCAAAAAAAGGAAAGTCGACTTCATAGCCTGTTGCAAGTATGCAGTAGTGTATGTTTGCTCCTCCGAGCCATCTCGAAATATGCCGTCCCTGATTCAGAGAATCGGCTTACGCTGGCTTGGGACGGCACCCGCAGCTCCTTTGCTTGGAACTGGTCTGGAAGAGTTTCAACATCAGGAGGGAGTTGAAGCGGAAGAGGAGGCCGCAGCGCGTGCAACAGCAGAATTTGCAGAGAAGGAATGTATGACCCGACCTGCGAGAGGGACAAGTTCGGTCGTTATGTCTGATCCACTTGGACCGCCGCTATGACGAGAATCGTGAGGTCCTTGAGCTCGAGTTGGGGTTTGCGTTGGAGAAGGCAATGGAATAGAAGAGGGATTACGGTAGAACATAGAGTGAGATGCCGGCCAGACGCAAACCAGGTGTCAGACCGGGAATGGTGGCGTATCTCGGCATGTTGTGGTGTCCATTGCATACCAGGAGGAGGTCGAATGCCCATTTAGTTCTTTGATTAACGTTGGTTGTTTCTACAGCCCATTTGTTCTGGTCTGGGTCCCATCGGCGCTACTACTCTTGTATTGAGAAGAATGTGTTTGTGCAGGCCGAAAGAGGAGGCGTATGATTCGAGTAGGTCTGGACCACTCCTGCCTTTGGAAAGAGCGGAGTGCTAGCTGGAAGGGAGCGATGTGAATGCCATGACGGATGTGGCAGGTTGGTAGTTAGCGAGTCATACAGGGGCGTTGCTGGTGGCGAATTGCCTGGTTGCGATGGAGGAGGAGGGGAAGGAAGCCTGACAATACGAAAGGTCAGAACAGGTATGAACTCGGATGGTGAAAACGAACCATACACCTCCGACATTCTCCCTGGCTTCAAAGGCAGTCGGGATCCATAGCCCAGCTTTATACTGGGAGTATCAGTGATAGCTTTGAGAGCTGCCAGACCAGCTGGGCCAGCACCAACGATCCCGATTCTCTGTGCGGCCATGGGATGAGTATTCAGAGGTGCACCGTTCTTGCATCATGGTCGCTGTAAATAGCGTTATCATTCCTGTTTGCACTTGTGTACGCGTTCTGGACCCTTTACAGTCCTAAATGCGGTATTTTCTCGTGACTCTCATACGTCTTTCTTTTTTTGTTTTTCTGCTGTCCTACCTGGTATGCAAACTGCAATTTTGCATTGGGGCGGCCGGTTATATCACATGTACTACCAGTGTCACTCAGCCATTACATGAATAAATTTATGGCTAAGGTGAACCACTATTAAAAAATTGCAGCTTGTTGCGACTTTTTCAGAAAGCGGGTGAATGCCTGCTGGTGGCTCATGGCATGGTCAAAGCTTAAACACAAAGTACGACAATGAAATTGAGATCTCCGCAAATAGTACAAACAATCATAACTTCAAGCCAAAAATAAGAAACCTATTTTTCGGATTTATTTAATTTTAATAAGTACTATTTCCTCCACTCCCTACTAACTCTCTTTATCGAACCAACGTAAAACTTCATTCAAAACAAAGCCTTGAACAGGGCCGCCACCTTAAAACCTTAGGCGCATGTAACGGAGTTGACGAGCCAGTTTGCAGCGATGCCGGTTTCGGTCTGGCCGACCCAACCTTCGATATCAGAAGCAGTTTGCGCAGCCGTCAAGCCATCGGCAGAAATGGTGTCGACGACTGTGTAAGTACCATCGGCATTCTGGGTGAAAGAGGAACCGAGTTGCTGTATGAGCAAGGTATCAGCATCAATGTTCAGATTAATTACGAGAATGTGAACGGGTAAAGTTCTAAAGAAGGACGTAATTACCTCAATACTAGACCCAGTTTCTCCGGAGAGGGCACGGCCAATGACTAGAAAATATACACGTTTTGGTTTCTCGTTAAAGACCCGATTTCAGAAAAAGAAATACCCACCGAAGTTGAACTCCGCGACGAGGTCAGTGCTCGGGTCTACTGAAGCACTAGGGGTGAGCACGAGAGTGCAAGTAGCAGTGTCATCGCGCTTGGCAACGATGGCAGAGGCAGAGGCCACGGCGACAGCAGCGATGGCGATGAAGACTTTGGTGAGCTTGAACTGCATGTTGAAAGATGAAGTTGTTTTGAGAAGCTGGGTATTTTTGCTTGATTTGCTGTATAGAACTGGTTGAGTGCTATGGGACACTACAGGATATATTGGCTACCTTTTATACATCTTTACAGACGGTAAGTTAAGCCCGTAAAATGAGAAGACCACCTCATGTTGGTCCACCTTTCGCATACTGATGACTACCGTGCCGATGAAAATAAATGTGCACTGCTCTCACGTTCGCGTTTTCCCAATATGCTTGAGTCGAAGAGGCATGGGATATAACGGGACCCTTGGGCAGAACATTAATCAGGCTTCGGCGTAACCAGTGGGTGCGTTTCTAGAACAAGTTCTTGTCCCACCCGCATTACACTTACTTGGCCACCTGACTCTAATAGACTCGTTTTTATCATTAAAATTTAACGTGCTCGTTACATCTGGCGCAAATTTCACACATCCTTTTTAGTTGCTTCTCTGAAGGATATAACTTGAGCTTTTTGATGATTTTCCAGCTTTCCAGAATATCCACTGCCCAAATTCAGGAGCGCGACGCGTGTGTGCTATTAATAGCCCTCGAACCGATTCCCAATTGATGGCAAGAGACGCTGAGAATCATCAAGCTCGCTTGGCATCCTCATGAAACGCGGCCGACCCTCCTTACCGTTTACGGGGTTTACGATTCTAAATTGGGCATTTTCACTCGTGACTTTGGCCGCGTCCTTGTATTCTTTTTGGAAAATAGGGCGTTACCAACCTACTACCCTCATGTTGAATGTCGAAAGACGTTTCGTAGGTTCCATTCCATCAGGGATCTCGACTCTTGAGCCTTGTGCTTCTTCGTTTCTTGGATATTTTGGTGTCACGCCTGACGTCGACCTAGGAATGTTGAGAAATTCATGTCACTGTCGGGGAAATGCTCCACAAGTTGTCAATAGATCGCGATATAATTCAGCTGTGTAGGTATTTTCGGATTTTCGTTGGGTTGGCATGTATGTAGAGGGCATGAAATGCGCTTTGCATTCTAAAAGATTGG